GGTGCAATGGGGAAGGCAGGAGCTTTCCCCATGTTTTTTCTTTTAATGTTCCTTCCACAATGTTATAAACATGGAAAGGTTGATCATCCCTTCAAATGCCCATCTCCTTCACTGCCTTGAAAACCAGACAGGCTGGAAAGCTGTCTGAGTTTTCAGTTAACACAGGTTAACTTTTTTTCAGGGCAATGGTTGAAAACTCTGAATCCTGAAGGCCCTGACTGCTGTCAAGCCAGGTCAGCAAGGAAGCAGGGAAGGAGGGAAAAGGAAAAGGGCAACATGCTACCTCTTCTGGTGACATTTAGGGGCACAGGCTGCTCTGCAGTACTACCTGAAAACTTCAGCCAATCTCCATGTGCTGGTTTGGCTGGGATAGAGTTAATTTTCTCCATAGTAGCTTGTATGTGGCTATATTTTGGATTTGTGCTGAAAACCAGGTTCAGCAAATGGAAATGTTTTTTCACTGCTGAGCAGTGCTTACATGAAGTCAAGGCCTTATATGCTTTTCACAACACCAACAGTAAATGGGCTAGGGATGCATAAGAAGCTGGGAGGGGACACAGCTGGGACAGCTGATCCCAACTGATCCCATACCATGTGGTGTCATATAAAGCCTGGGGAAGAGGGAAGAAGGGGGGGACGTTCAGAGTGATGGTCCCAAGTCACTGTTACGTGTGATGAAGCGCTGCTTTCCTGGAGATGGCTGAAAACCTGCCTGCCCATGGAAAGTGGTCAATGAATTCCTTGTTTTGCTTTGCTTGCGTGCAAGGCTTTTGCTTTACCTATTAAACTCTTCTTATCTCAACCCATAAGTTTTCCCACTTTTACCCTTCCAATTCTCTCCCCATCCCACCAGGGAGGACTGAGCAAGCAGCTGGTGGTGCTCAGCTGCTGACTGTGGTTAAACCATGACATGCCATCATAAAAAGAAACACAGTATAACAGGGGTGGTCAGACACAATTTCCTGTGTATACAAATACCAGAATCTGGATGTACTTTCAGTTTAACAAGCAAAGGAAAACTTGGGGCATAACCTTAAAGCTTTTTGTTTCCTGGCCACTTTTAGACATTTCCAGACAATGAACTGGGCTTTTGCAAACTGAGTCCTGAGGGCTAATCTTCAATTCCTGTCTCTTATGGATCATTTGTTAATTCCGTGTTTTATAGAGTAGAGGTTTGCCCTCAGTCTTACTCATTTCTTGGTCTTGTACTACAGCCTTTCCGGAACCCTGAATTCAGACTTGCAAACTGCTTTGAAGGCAGTCTGGGGCAATTCTCCATTTAGTTCTGTTTTAGTAGCCAAAAAGCTAGACCAATAGAGGTTGTAAACGAGGCATTTTTTTCAGGAAACTGCTTTGTGTCCCAGATGTTCTCCTGACTGCCTTCAGGTAACATTTCCTTCCCAGGGATGGCAAATGGATGGGGCATCTGCTTGCCTCCCTGGTGACCCCAGCTTCTAGCAGTCCCTCACTCAGCACACGGGCTTTTTTCCCACGCTTGGTTCCCATAGCTCTGAATTTGAAGGTTGGGATCTGCAGCACCTAAGTCTTGTGGAAAAGCTGTCAAACTCACCCTTACGAAACAGTGTTGGTCAAAGGGAGCAGTGCAGATACTTTGAACTTGGAGACAGATCACAGGAGACAGCTGTTTGTATCTATGTAGATGGTTTATGTGCTTTCTAACAAGGCAGCTGAATCCTCTACAAATAAACAGGCCTCCTTTTTTTAGCCATGCTTTAACCCTTTTCCCGCATAAGGGATTTATTTGATTAAAAAGCTTGACTTTTTTTTTGCTTATGCTTTTCTGCAACTCTAGTGACTAGAGCAACTCTTCACAAAACCTGGTAGAAAATCATGGTTTGACTACCAGTAGTTACAATTCAAAACTGTCGGTTTTTCCAAAGATTATGCAGAAATACCCCTACTTTTTTGTTGAGGTTATCTTGTTGAATATAAATCATCATCAGTTTTCCAGTATTAAAATTCTGAGCCTTTGACTTGCTCAGAGCATTTCTTTTGCCATGGAAGAAGAGGCTAAGACTGCAGCTTAAGTCACCACCACAACAGCAAGGGATGAACAAAAACCAGCTGCATTTGGCAACACATTGGATCGTGTTTCAGTTAAGTTTTTGAGTACTCGACAGAAGCCATTCAGTCTTCAGTGAATTCAACATTCACAAAGATATCTGGCAACCTTTAAGCACCCATATGGCATCAGAGAATATACCAGAAACCCTTGCCATTCTCAGACACTTTTACAGAAAGCTGTGTGCCTAGTGAGAACAAATAAAGATTTCTTGTAACAGCAACCTCAATTTTCTTTACTGAGAGCCTTCATCTCCAAGCTGAGCTCCAAGTGAGGCACAGGGCAAAGATGTGCATTTCATCTAGTAGCCTTCCCAGTGGCAATTTTTCTCTTTGGAAAGGAATTCTGGAATTTTTTCCCCCGTGTTGATCTCCATGTTACAGATTTCGGCAGGCAGAGGAACCCTCTCCATGTCTGGTCACTCTGGTCAGATAGGCGAACATTTCTCATTCAGTTAGAAGGACACCTACTTGAAAAACTAAAAATTATACTAATTAATTTGAAGAACACCAATACTGTTAGAATTAAGCAAACAAGATCAGACTGGTTGCTGATTAAACTGGTATAGAAACCTTAAGAGTCCATAATTTGCTTAACATCTAGAGCAGGAGGACATTTTTTAACTGCTAGATATAAATAAAACTCTCTACTGAATTACTAAGTTTTGTTGAAACAAAAAAATTTGCAACAGCCTGGTTAGATATATTATCTATAAAAACATCAATATTGACTAATTTTGAGAATGGAACAAAAAAAGGCACAAAGACTAGCCCTAGATTACTTTTTTTCTGATGGAATACAACCCAGCAAAAATTATTATCAATGTCATGCTTAATATTGTGAGTAATCTCTAAGTAAAACCTTGTGCAATGATACTGAGGTGAGTTTCCAGCCCTTTGCTCTGGAAACATCTTATAAATGCTATTCTGAGGAACAGAGTATGGATTGGATAGGAATATTTCTGAGATGATATGGGCTTGACAAACTCTCAGTATTCTGAACAACCACTCTTATCTTATTGTCTGGCTGTTAAAAATATGTCTTCGTCAACCCTGAAGTTTCACCTCTTCTGTTAATGGATGACATACCCAGAAGCGAAGAGAGCTTTATAATCCTCACACGGTTTGCACAGCAGAAAACCTGTTAGCAGGGTTTCCTGAGTGACACCATTCATTTACATAGTATTCAAGTCCTGTAAAAGTGTGTCAGAGAGACGGGCAAGGAATGTGAAAGAAGCCTTGGTAGTGGTGCAGTATTGTGAGATTTGTGATATGTAGCTTTAATTTCCCTCTCTGTTTGACCTGAAACATGCTGATGTGTTGTGTGGTGCACAGTTCCCAGGTCTAACACAATGAAATAGTCACTAAGCTGTAAATAATGCACTGAACCATTCACAAAAATCAGGCTTTGGAACAAAGTCAAGTTTAAAAAAATAAGTTTACTAGAAACTTAGGACAGCTACATTTACTGTCTGTATTTCCAGGTTTTGGGGTTTTCTTGCAGCTTTTTATGGAAAAGCTCTTTGCACTGTAGGAGCAGGTGTACTCCTCGGTTCCTGCCATTAATCCCCAAGTGAAGGAAGGATCACTATCCCAGTGATAGACTGGGGTGGGTGCACACACCTTCCCACATGTGAACAAGCCCAGAAAATGATAAAAAGCCTGGAGTAAAGCCTTGCACAATGTTAGCATGTTCAGAAGCATATAATCTTCTTCTATTTTAAACTTCTATACTATTCTGGAGTCAAAAATTTTAGAAACATTTTTAATCAAAGAAGTAAGATTTAATCTTTCATTCTTCCCCATTGTTTCTTCTCTCTGTAAACCCACATTTTTTATAACTAAATTTAACTGCAATTACACATGAGCAAACTCAGACAGTTTGATTAAAACCAAAGTAGGGCTGGCACCTAACATAATATATCTTTGTTGTGATCTTATAAATTTTTGTGTGACAGAAGGATGGAGTTTCTGAATGAAGGATCAAATTCAGATTCTGATAAAATCAGGGTGTAAAACCACACTCATGACAATGGGACCAGAATTTGCACCAAGTTCATTCACTCTATCAAGAGCAGGAAAACTCCTCAGCTAAAACATGTTTAAAACTGGGATTTAAAGGACTCACTGCCAGAAACTTTCTAGCAAATGTGGAGATTTTGATTGTACTTGCAGAAATGTGTGGTTTAGACCTGTATGCCAAGGTCTGGATGACATTTATTGTCCTACGTGAAGTCCTGAAATCTTCAGAAACATTAGGTTGCTTTAAAACTCTGTACTATTTTTTCCAATCATATGTTTCTCTGGGGTTGATCCGAGCATGACTGGGAAATGCCAAAGGCCCAGATGGAATCTCTCTCAGAGCCAAACCAGCACTTCTCACCGACAAGCCACTATGCCTTGGCTAGAAGCTGGATCGGGGTGTGAAGACTGATGCTGACAGACCTCCATCTACTCTGCACGGTTACGGTAACAGTTTTATTCTCAAACTTCTAAGTGCTGCTTTACTTGGCCGTAGGGGAGCTCTCCGGGCGCACCGTTCCGGCTCGAGCAGCCCTTCCCGCTGCTCCGCCCCGCCGGGCTCCGCGAGGGCCGGGAAAGGGTGTCGGACCCCGCTCCCCCTAGCGCAGCTTTCTGGGCGGAGCGGCCCCGGTCCCGCGGCGAGACCAGCATCCCTGCTCGGCGGGGCGGCCGGGGGGGGGGGCGCGGAGCGGACGGTGGCGGCAGCGGGAGGAAGGAGAGGGCTGGCCTCAGGCGCTGGGCAGCCACTGGCACGGGAGCTGCCCCCGCCTCGCCTCCCGCGGCGGGAGGATAAAGGCACCTGGCCCGGCGCTCTGCGCTACCGGAGCGGGGAGGCGGCGGCGGCGGACGAGCGGACGTGCGGGGGTCGAGCCGGGCCCCTCCGCGTAGCCCTCTCCATGCGCCTGGCCGGCGGTGCCGGCTCCCCTCGGGCCGCGCCCTCGCCCGGGAACGGCAGCCAGTGGCGAGAGACAGAGCCGGGCGGCGGCGGCGGCAGCCCCAGCCCCGAGGCGTGGTCGGGGTCTCCCAATGGCAGCCTGGGCGGCTGGGACCCCTTCGGGCGGGACGAGGAGCTGGCGAAGCTGGAGATCGCGGTGCTGGCCGTCACCTTCGCGGTGGCGGTGGTGGGGAACGGCAGCGTGCTGCTGGCCCTGCGGCGCACGCCGCGCAAGGCGTCTCGCATGCACCTCTTCATCCGCCACCTCAGCCTCGCCGACCTGGTGGTGGCCTTCTTCCAGGTGCTGCCCCAGCTCTGCTGGGAGGTGACACACCGCTTCCACGGTTCCGACGGACTCTGCCGCGTCGTCAAGCACCTGCAGGTCTTCGGCATGTTCGCCTCGGCGTACATGCTGGTGGCCATGACCGCCGACCGCTACATCGCCGTCTGCCATCCGCTGAAGACGCTGCAGCAGCCCACCAAGCGCTCGTACGGGATGATCGCGGCAGCCTGGGCGCTCAGTCTGCTTCTCAGCACCCCGCAGTACTTCATCTTCTCCCTCAGCGAGGTGGAGCGCGGCTCGCAGGTCTACGACTGCTGGGCGCACTTCATCATGCCCTGGGGGCCCCGCGCCTACATCACCTGGATCACCGGCGGCATCTTCGTCGCGCCCGTCCTCATACTCATCACCTGCTACGGCTTCATCTGCTACCGCATCTGGCGCAACGTCCGGGGGAAGACGCGCCCGGGGGAGGCGGTGGCGTCGGGGGAGGAGGCGGCGGCGGTGGCAGCGGGTGGCGGGCGGCGGGCGGGTAGCGGCGGCCCGCGGCGGGGGCTGCTCCTCGCTCCCTGTGTCAGCAGCGTCAAGACCATCTCCCGCGCCAAGATCCGCACCGTCAAGATGACCTTCGTTATCGTGTCGGTGTACGTTGTTTGCTGGGCGCCCTTCTTCACCATCCAGATGTGGTCCGTCTGGGACCAGCGATTCCCCTGGGTCGGTAGGTGACGCCTTCAGTTCCCCCACCAGCCGCCCCGCACGCGTTAGGGTCCCCCGGGGGTGCAGCCGGCTGTCCCGGGCGCTGCACATTCCTGAGCCGAGCGTGGGGGAGACGGGGCGCGAAGCGGAGAGTGGGACCGGGGCGCGAAGCGGAGAGTGGGACCGGGCTCGCTCTCTCGGCGCCACCCGGCCGAACGGGCCCCTCTCCCGCCGGGGAATAGCGGCTGAACGCCCTTGTGCGGGCAGGTGAGACAGCCCTCGGGGCCGCCCCGCCGGCACCTCTCGTACTCGCGGACCTGGCGGCGCCGGGGGCGGCGGTCGCGACGCTCGGCTCGGCCTGTCCCGGGAGCAGGCTGGGCCCCCGGAAAGGAGCAGCAGCCGCTGGGTTCTCATCCAGAGCAAAGCGAGCGAATGGAAAATGGCAAATATTTGCTGCCATAATTTGAGCCAGCAACATTTTCGTCCGTTTGAAGCTGCCGATATGAAAACTTAAGAAACGTTTTATGTTACTGTGGAGCATATACACATATATGTCAGGAGGAGTTATAAGCCTTCTTTTCTGTATCTGCTATCTAATAATGAGGTTGAGTGCACCCTGAACCCTTCCTCTCAGCAGGGCAGCCACCTCTGAGTAGCCCCTTTAGTCAGTCACCAGTTTGCATGAATCAGTGGCAATGTAGATTTTGGAGTTATCTGTCCCACTGTTAAATATGGCTAAAAATAATTCATGAGTTTAAATGCTATTGCATAGGTAATGAGCAGGCAGCATTATATGGCAGGCACCATATACCCTCTTTCCTCATAATGAGAATGAAGTAAATCAAAATGTTGGAATTCATAGGTTTTTTATTTTTTTTTAATATACCCAAATTATTGCTTCTAATTAATTATTGTAGTGAGAGCATTGATTGCCTCTAGCATGGGACTAAAGTCAAGGCTAAAGGCTTGTGGTGTGCAAATAGATTTTTTTTTTTTTTTACTTAAAAAGAAATGAAACCTAATTGAAGAGATGGTATTTGCTAGGTTTGTTTGAAGATTCTTTAAATCTATGGAACTGCATAACACAGCAATTACGCTTCTTTGGAGATTTCATAATTACAAAGAAAGATCATTAATAAGTGGTTAGACTAAATATATATATACAGTATTTGATCTAACTATCGACTAGTTATTAAAGGTAGAAGACAACAGCATTTTCATGGCATAGTGCTAACTTCGATTTTCCCTTAGGTAAAATTTGTTTAATCTCCAAAATCCAGATTTGATCAACAAGCCAGTAGTCAGTTGAGCATTCAACACTTTTCAGCGTGATGATGTATACAGCAAAATTCAGTGTTATTGAAAGCAGTGGGAAATCAGTGGGAATTTTGCCATTGTCTCCCAGGGTTCTGGATAAAAACTGTTCAATATTTAAAATATGAGCTTATCAACACATGGATACACATCAGTGGAAATGGGACTAAAGCAGTATTTTGGATGGATTATGCCATAAATTATTTTGTCACAGCTTTTTGAAGTCTGTTCAGACAAATTCCCATTGACTTCAACGGCAGCCTTACATAAATAAGAACTTTCCTGATAATGTTCTCATTACTCATTTCAAATGCTGCAGCTCAACTTTTAGAACTAGAATATTTAGGAAAATAAATCCAACAGTTAATGAAGCTATTGGTGCAAATTCTTTTGATGATTAAATGTCTTTCTTCCCCCCTCCCCAGATTCTGAAAACACTGCAACTACTGTTACGGCTCTGCTGGCCAGTCTGAACAGTTGCTGTAACCCATGGATCTACATGTTCTTCAGTGGGCACCTCCTGCAAGACTGCATACAGAGCTTCCCTTGCTGTCAAAAAATAAAGCAAACGCTGAGTAAAGAAGATTCAAACAGCAATAGCAGGCGACAGACTTCTTTCACCAACAATAGAAGCCCAACCCACAGCCTAAACACCTGGAGGGAGATGCCCCTCTCTAAATCAACGAGCTTCATTCCCATTCCAACATGAGACAGGCTATGGGACAGGAGGGCATGACACTTTATGCCTGTCAAAGGCATCAGTCACGGTACCAAGGAATGACTAACATGGCTATAAGGCTAACATGCTGCCTTGCTCAATAAGCTATCCTGCAGCATGTAAATTATTTTCTGAAAGGTATTTAGAACTTGGGCAACTGATAAGGAAGGCACGGCAACAATAAAGCAATTATTTTTTTAAATAGAATTTATTTTAATTTTTTGTCTGTTTCTAAAATAATAAGTGCATTGTTTGCTTGCTATTTAAAGCAGTAAAAATAGTAGAGTTATCATGTTTTGGAGTAACTCCACTCTGTAGTGTTAATGCATAAAACTTCTCATGATTGTCGGATGAAGTCACAGGGAAAGAAGACAATATGAGCAAGACTACAGATTAGTATTAAACACAAAAAGAAAGAAGGTGGGAAAAAGTCCTGGCTGTCCAAATAAAGAACACAGACTCTGAGTTGTTGGAATTCAGTTGCTTATACTGCTTTATCTTGTAAAGATCCAGCAATTCTCAGATACTGAAATTTAACAGCCCTGCTAAAGACAAATCCTTTAGTATTGTCAGTGTATGTGTGTGTATGGTGGGTGAGCATTTTTAGGGTAACATTTCTTCTTCCCTTCATGTTGATGTAAGTTCTACAATATATTTGTGTGTGTGTATGTGTTGTTGCATCTACCTTCATTTTTTTAAACTAATTTGAAAAATATATTGATAAATAAGTATGACAAGCTATGACTAGCTCAGCATTGTTACAAATAAATATACCAAGAAAATGCATAATGAATACCAGGACAACTTGCTTTATGGGTAAGAATTGCATATTCTCTTTTTTTCTTCATTAAGATCAAGCTAGGATCAAGCCACATTTGGTTGTCAAGCAAATACCCCATCAGTTCAGTAGAGTGTGGCATTTGGTAAGAGCCATAGAACCAGTATATTCCAAGACAGAAATCTGAGAATCAAACTTACAAGTCTTCTTATCTTTAGTTTTAAGGAGGGAACATATGAAAATTGTCAATGTTGTTGGTTTGTCTTTTCTTTTTTTTTTTTTAATTACCAGATCACAACAATATAGCACTCAAAATTGGCAGGAAAGTGCAATAAAAATTAATCACAACACATTTGCTAATTACAAAGCTTTCCAGGTGTGCTTGTTTTCTCTACAATGCATGCCAAGTAGTCTGTAGTTCATTCAGATGCTAAATAAACCTGTTAAGTCTTTCAGTGGAGTATGTAATTTATCTTAAGGTTGGATTTTGAAGCTCCTTGAATAAGTTTTGCTGTGATTTTTAGTCTTGAGGATCATTTTGAGAAGTACAGCTACCTGTCTTCTCCATTTTCCTGAACATTCTGGATCCTGAAATCCAGGTGTTTTCCTGCTGCTGGAGCAGTGGAACATGTACCTGGCTACATAACATGCATGTAAGGAGAAACCTCAACAGCAGGTTTCTCTTTTTCCCACCAAAACCTAACAAGATTGCTTTTCTAATTGCTTGAGGAGAGTAAAAAATGGGGTCACCATGTGGCTTTCACTGAGAATAGTCCCCATGCCTGTCCCAATAATGGCAGCAGAAATTAATAGAGCTAGATGCTGGATAAGATCGTATTAAACCTGTTATCCAGTCCAGAAGCTTCCAGACATATCATCCGGTCAAAGAATAGGGAATATTATAGCTAAAAAAATTTTTTTAAAAAAATCGATTTTGTAGTCACTAAAGAAAATCTTGTCTCTTCTCTCTACTTTCCTTGTTAGCATTTTCTGTTCTTCAGGACAGAAATCTGGTCTAATGTTTTGTTGTTGTTCAAAACACTAGAACCCAGAGGACAGCATGGTGGAATAGCTTATATTTAACGACTACCTTTTGACCACCTTTAGTACACAAATGTGACTACAGCTCTCAGCAGTTCTGGATGAAGGTTTGTGAACCTAAAGTTGCATTTAAGTCCAAAAAATGCATGCAATGGTGTTGTGTGTGTATACTTGTGCACATTATATGTACTGCATATATTTTGCAAGTAGGTAATTAACAGTTACTGAAATTGCAAATGTTTCAAATTAAGTACATTATCCTTTGCCTAGTTTTCTCTTGGTGCTACTGCTTTCTTTGTACATGAAATCTATTAAAAAGCAATTAGCTGTACTAACAGAATTTTCATGTTTGCATAATTGAATTGTTTTTCTATTGGGCTTTATATTCAAAGAGAAAAGATAATGAGAAAACATATGAAGAATGATGTTGATGACAAAACTGAGCTAATGGCCAATGTATATATTAAAGCAAACAGACTCAAAATTATGAATTTTAGTTTCTTCTAAATATGTTATAAAATCTAGGCTTACACTTGAGGCTTTCTGCAATTAAATTGACAACACAGTTTAACAGTATTTCGTTTTCAGGCATCTTTTGCAAATACTGAATTTTTCATATAATTGTAGCACTGGAAGATACAGCCCATATTTTTCAGTTGTTCATCTGTGGAGATTTTTTTTTTTTTAACAGCTGTTTTGAGTTATTATGAGGGCACACTAATGGAAACAGAAGGAAATAAAAAATTGTGAAACCATTGCATGTTTAAAACATGGAAACATGCTCTAATAAACCTATATATTTGTTTGATCAGAAGCTTTCTGGGGTTTTTTTGCTTATCTAGATTTTGCAGGACCAGAAGTGTATGTGGTAATACAATACATATTTTGCAAAATGTAAAATTTCTTTGTTAATTTTAATAAGTTGTTTCCATGAAAAGCTTTAAGGAGTGAACAAAACTAAAATGTTTTTCTATTACACATAGTGCATGAAGGACATGAACAAAGAAGCAACGTGCAGTCAGCTTTTGACTATATGCTGCTAGTATTGTTAAAACATGTAACTTAGCATTTCTATAGGTGTTATTTTGATATTTTTGCTTTATTTTATTTTGTTTTACTTTATTTTATTTTAAATAGTCAGCTTCTAATGTAAAACATGATTGAATGGATAAGCCTACACTCTGTTGTTTGTTCTGGTGTTACCAGAATTGCAGCATTTTAAAAATAATTAGGTGGCAAAAGTGGAGATGATACAGAACATGGAAAGGATTTTGTTCTTCTACATATGAAACATAAGTTGCTAGAAAGCTTCTTTTCATTAATTTCTTTTTAAATTTGTAGGTAAATATATTGTTGGCTCAGAAAAAAAAAAATTCTGTATTACCACATCACGGCCAAAATCTACGAGAAATCACAAGAGACACAAGTTCACGTGTGCCCAGTACTGCAAAGACAAAGCTTTTGTCTCCAGAAAATCTTATGGCTGGTTCCAAATTGCCTAGATTGAAGGACCTTGCTAAAGTTCATGCATGCTCCTTTCCAACTCATGCATACGGAAAGCAGAGCAGAAGAAGGGAAGGATCTGCAGAGCTAGAGGTTGTTCCAGGGCAGGTACCCAGCTTTGGGAAGTGAACCCAGATTTTACAGTAGAGCTACTGCTGAGATATAGTTATTGCATAGAAGAAACTCTTACAGATTTCTCCTAGACTGAGTTCCCCACTTACAGAAAGGACTAGTTAAATACAGTGTCCTCTCCTAAAAAAGTGTCTGCATGAGTTTCAGTTGTGCAGTCCCTTCTGTACAGGATGGGAGGAAGTTTGTTGTCTTCGTGAAAGACTGGGGAGGCAGACAGGAGTTTGTGTGCTAAGCACTAGTTGGAGCTATAGTTATTGTTTTCTGTGTTTTTCTTTAGGAATTGGTTTTGCTGGAAAACGTGTCACTTGCTACTTGGATAAAGGAATTGTAGGATACGTAAATGAACAGGTTTCTGAGTCCAGGGATAGATCACAGTTGCTCCACAGGGGGCAGTCCTGGCTGGTTCAGGTAACAGTCACTCACACAAGAGTAGGTCCAGCTAGTCTTTAAAAAGGCAGGGAACTGCTGAAAGTAATGTAAGTCATGCAGAAGGGTTTATGCAGGTATGCAAAAGCAAGCAAACAACAATCACAACTGGTGCCTGCTGAGCTTTGTTAGAGCCAGCCAGCAAGGGTCTGCCTCTCCCAGACAAGTCCTGCAAAAACCCTGGATCCTGAATGGTGTTAATTAACACTGTAGCACTGTTTGGTACAGCTGCTCAGTAATTTGCCATGAATTAGTATAAACTTGCTTAGAGTAACAGTTTACATGCAAATTAGCTTTAGGTCTCCATAAGGACATTTTTAGCTGAATTCTTGACACAGTCCATTGGGTTACTTCATTTCTGAAAAGCAAGACTGCAAGGTAGAATCAGGAGTGCAAAGCTCTCTTCTCAGCTGTACAGTGAGGAGACCGGCAAGTCTCTTTAGTTGCAGGTGGACAAGATGTTGTTGGGTATGGGTGAACTTTCCTCTAATCAGAGAATAATCTTTTGCACAATTCCAATATTTTTCCCATTTCCAACTTTTTTTTTTTTTCGGAGGGGGGTGGATGGGAGGGGAAGCTTCGGGATATAGCACTTTGTCTGCAAGCAGCTTTAGAAAAAATTGTTGGGATCAGTGGAAGGACATCTACAAATTCCCCATCTCTTCATTAGCTTGTGTTTTCTTCCTTTTACTGATGAAACAAATGCAGGAGTGCCTTTCCTTCCGTGTCATGTCAAATTAAGTAATTCCCTAGAACAGTTTTGAGCTGCTGTGGTTCATTATGGGTGTAAGGTGCTAACACTATTAACAATTGCATAAGTAGGAATTAAGATTTAATGACCTCCAATTGCAGAAATAAGGACTACTGTTTCATGAGTGTCTATTGTTAAATTGATTGTGCTACTACTGTTGGCAACAGGACAAAATGCTCTTGAGATCACAGTCCTCTTTCCATGGCAGTATTTTTTGTGCTTAGGACTACAACATTTTATTTTTCCCGGTCAAATGTGCTAGGCCTAGTTCTGGATTATGCTTCCAAGTGACAGTGGCTGCATATCTAGTATTGGTCATGTTAATTTACTGATGCCTGAATTATCCATCCTCAGTTCAGGGTAATGATATTTATCTTTCTCCGTAAGTTCTTATAGGGCACATGGGTAAGAAGTACAATGTACAAGTTCAATATTCCTTTTCAAGCAAAGCACTTGCAATGAAGGCTGTAGGTGTCCCATCAGCTTTTACAGCTTTGTAGCAAAACCTGACAAAACTTCTTGGCTCTCCAGGCATAAAACCTGTTCTGGAAGTCAAGGAGCAGGTAACCAGAGACTTGCACAGTAACTGCCCCAGCCTGTTCCACCACTACTGGTGTGATCGCTCCTGCCATAGTCTTTCCTGACCCTGGTATGGATGGCTGCAGCAACAATGGGGACAGGGTCCACAGGAGCAGCAGCAGACGGAGTTGTAATTAAAGCATAAATTCCTTTTGGAGGGAGGAATGTGGATCTTATCAAATAAAAAACCCACAGTGAGTACTGGGAGAGAGATGAACTGGTGACTCAGAGAGCAAATAAAACATGTCTTAGCACAAGGGTTATTTGAAAGTATAAAAATGTTTTCCATTTTGCAATTTGAAGATATGTTTTATATATTTAGAAAAAGACCCTCTTGTCTCCTGGAACTGTAGTGATACGAAGCTTTTACAAATCTAATAAGTGTCTCTGCTGAGATGTCTACAAGTCTATGTCTAAAAAAGGACAATGATCTCTCCAGGCTAAAACATTCAACATGTGATTTGTAAGTTCTTGGCCCTACAATACAAACTTGTTCTGTGGGAAATATGGACAGACAGAGTTTTCAGGGAGGAGAAAGGAAGGAGCCTAAATATCATTCCTCTTTTTTTGGAAAGAAGTGATAGTCAGGCTGCATAACAAAATCTTCAAACTAAAAGGCAACAATCTTCCTGTTATTTTAGAAAGCTTTTGATTGAAGGTGGTGTGGAAGTGAGAAGCAGTGGATGAAGAACCTGAAGGATTAGGAGGCATGTAACTTCTTAGCATTATTATCAAAAGGAGAAACTTGCTTAGGTGCTGCTCAAATGTTTTTCTAAATAAGAGTAGTAACTGTACAAAATAGCGGCAAAAGTAACAAAAAATTTGATAGCAAATTCTCTTTTCTGGTTCACTGTAAAGCAGGCAGAGTTACGCAGTAAGACATCTTCAAACTGGGGTAGATATGGACAAAGGCATCCTCTGAAATACTGTAGGTGTTGGTCACTTCAGAGGAAACCACAGTATTGTTGGATGATATCACAAAAATAAGGAAATCCAATCATCAGGCTGATTTCCTACACAATTAATCTGAGTAATTCTCTTCCAGAGAAGAAGAAAACATTATTAAATAGCCATCATAATATTTTCTAAATGTGAGACATTTCAGTGTTTCCATGGGAGCAAAGGAGGGGCTTCCGAGTATTAGACTAGACATAGAGCTAAGGATTGAGTTCAGTGAGACATTTGGGCATTCATGTGGATTTCAGTCATTATGTAGTCCCATTATCTCCAATATTCCAGACACTGTGAGGGCAGTCAGGGCAACAAGGAATTATATACAGTAAATAATAAAAAAACCCAAAAGATAGGTTTGTGTGACTATATATAACCTCATTTCCCAAACCAAATTGTACTCATCTTTTTCAACAGAAAAGAACAATGATTTAGTTATGTGTCTCTGATAACGTAGTTCACCATGAAGTTGATGTTCAGAGGCTCAAGAATCCCAAGTTCTGATATATGGTTATAGAAGTTCTTTATTAAAGGGATAAGTTTGAAGTGTTATTAAATTGAAGAGGAGCTGGGAAAATGGGGAGAGAGTTCTGCCTTTGTTCTCTTTTGTTGTTTGTTTGGAATTTGGGATTCTTTTTCATCTATTATGACAATTCCCCTGAAAAGCTATATTTTAAATATGCCATACTGGAGATAAGATGGTCAAAGCACCATGAAGAATCCGATCTTGACTCACTCTTTAAATGTAAGATGTATCATTAACACTTGCTCTTCTGTTGCACAGAGGTCACAGTGTGAGCCATAGTGTAATTAAACAACAAAATCTCATTTTTTCCTAAATTTAAGACCCGAGTGCCTCAATATGGACATTCAAAGCTGGAGAACACAAAGGTGGAATTTGTCTGCATTAATGTACCTGCAGTGCAGGTGGGTCCATCTGAGCAAGAGTGATTATTTTTGTAGCCAATGCAGAACTAGTTTCTGGAGTCCAGTGAGTCATTATATGACAGATATCAAGAACACTGCCCTTATCTCCACTGATATATGGATGAGAAAATCATTTACTCATTGTTTTTAATGGCAAGTATACCACTAGCTCAAATTGGTACACCTGTATTGCAGATAGTGTAGGTTTTAGTGACAGAAGAGATCAGAAGGGATCTCCACATTAGTAGTTCAGGATTTTACTTTCTTAAAGGGCAACTACAAAATGTTGCCATCTAATAGCATCATCTTGATTTGAATGCAGTTGATGATGCTGTCCCAATAGCTAACCAAGACGGCTCATATTGCAAAGATTCTGCCAGCCAGGTGCCTTTGTTAGTCATGTCACAAGAAAGACCAAAATCAAAATGAACCAAGAGATCAATTTACCTCCTCA